TTATACAATTAATACTTAAATATTCACAAATTTTCTTTTCTTTCAATCTATGTTTTTCTTTATGAAGTAATTATTACATATTTGTATAGATTGAGAATTTAAATATTTTCTGAGGCTTACTCTAAAGTCGAAAGACGATTGCAAAATGAATAAATAATAAATTGTTTCTAACTGGAACATTGTCTTCCTGCAATTTATATACACACGAGTTTGTTTAGGAGACAGAAGAACGAGAGAAACTGATACGTTCCTGTTATCGATAAAAATAAGGTAATAGGATTAAATCAAAATAAATCATGATATTGACAGTCTTTATCAACAGAATCGGGAGTAGAGATAGCCTACAGCTAGATCTGTCAAGTGGAATAGCAATCAAATGCACAATTGCGTACCGGACGAGTTTTCAGAATCAATTTCGTGAGAGATGAAGTCATATATGAAAAAGTTCTATTAAACATTTTATAATTATTTTATCTTGTAGAATTATAATCTTTTTTGTTATTCCACCAATTGCGAAGCATTTTATATGTTATGTTAGATTCGTTCTTGCTGGCGTTTCAGAGTAGGACAATGTCTGACCAGTGACTGGGCATTATCTACTGCGGCTGTGCTTGGTATTCGTTGTATAAAGTAGAACAGTGATTAAATACTTTGCCCTTGCTTTTGTTATTAATTAACGAAGTGAATGAATAATAATTATATTGATTATACACTGAAGAATGTTTAAATAAAAAATATGTTTATTAGAAAGGAAATTTTAGATACGAGTTCGTACCGTATGCTTACATTTAATTGTACTAAGTAACGAATTAAGACGAGCAATAACCCAATAGCCAATAGCACGTGATTTTCAGTTTCATCCCAATATGGAGAGCGAAGAGAAGAGAAGTACCGCGAAGAAAAAATTCCAGTGCGCTGGATCGTTCACGTAACACGCGCGAACGATATTCGCAAAAGTCACCGATCTGGCAAACGAACAGGCAAGAGGCAAACGCGTCGTCGGCGTGGTTACCGTGTCGGTGGTCTTAAATTCTCAGTATTTTGTAAACCGCTTCCGGGGACCCACAAGAAACAGAAGCTCGCGTGCGCCAGGAGCCGTTCGGACGATAACGTTAATGGACCTCATTTACATTGCATAATTACACCGTGTGAGCAGCTCGCGTTTCGGCCATCCACACGGCGGATTCCGCTGCGACATAGCTGGCGAAATGCGCCCGAAATGCTCGTTTGCAGCGCGCGCTGCTTGCATCGACGCGACGAAACGATGGCGAGGGCGGTGCTTCAAAGAAACGTTCGTTGCACGCGAGCCTGAATAGCATTAGGGGAAACTGGTACCTCGGTGTGTCGAATTAATCGACTGCTGATGGTTTTAATCGATACGATTGTTATTTATCGATGGGGGGCTGAGGCGACAGCGATTGTAGTGCCTGAGAGAGTCTGCACTGGTCTGCATTATTCTGCAGTGCATGGTGCAATAATGTTTCTCAAGTTGCCACCAAGTTATTCTCGCCACTAGACTGCGGATATTTGTGCATTTATGGCAAATGAAAATATGGGGAAATATGTGGGAACGTGTATAAATGCAAGAGTATATAAAATATCAAGAATAATGTACACGTTATACTTTTTAGAAGATAAGGGATATTTTTATTTAAGTTTCACTCCTTTTCCTGTATCCGTGAAAATATGAATTTGCATAAGCATATGCAGTCTACTCTTCACTTTCTAGAACTGCCTCTAACGAAACAAGTATAATTATTAGTATAGTTATTAATATTAAACGTCTCTATTGTAGTAACACAGACAGTAGTCCCTGTTCACGTAGGAATTAAATAAAAAAAAATTATTATTTTTAATATGATACGATTTAAATGACTGCCACTGCCACTTACATCTGCCTGTTTTATTTCCAAATTCTATGCCATGTATCTACCTATTTTATTGTTTCTATATTTCATCTATGGCTCAGTTTTAATTTAGGAAGAATCAAAAGGGAACCATCCGGTACAGTTGCTTGCAATATATTCCAGGTATACGAAAAATTGCATTTTTGGGAGGTGATTTCTATACCTATACCTGTGTATAAATCTTGCTATTTTATTGTAACCAAATTTTATATATACATGTATCTTACTATTTTATTGTTTTTGAATTTAATCAGTGCTCCAGTGATGATTGAGGGAGATTGAAACAGAAACTGTTGGGTGTAGCTGCCACAGTTGCAATATATTCTACATATTTGACAAACTGCATTTTCCTTCCTTCATTTTTATCAAAATTTATACGTGTATCTGGCTATTTTATTTGTACCTAATAGCAATGTCGCATTCCCATTAAATAACAATTGTTCCTATGCTCGATGCTTCATAATTTAACAAACCACATCTCACGTAGAACCACCCAACAATATCCCTAAATTTATTAAAAAGAACTACTCTAATTATACGAAAAATTGCAATAATCATACTTCTTATATTAAAATACCAAATTGAGAATCAATTTCTCCAAACAAAATTCCTCGACCGAGATAAAAGGAGAATTATATCAGACAACGCACGCCAATAGCAATGCCATTCACGATAAATAACGATCGTTTCCCTACCCTATAATTTAACAAATCACCGAGAAGCATGATATTTCCTCACTCTCACGCGGAGCCGGGCAATACTATTCCGTCAGACTTCGTGACTCCTCGGGAAGCGTAAACTATTATGTTCGATCAACCAGCAGCGTTAGATCCTTTATCGAGCGCCACTTGTTAGGCAGCAATTTTTCGCGATAACTTGAAACACAGTCGGCCGGTACGGTAGCTTGACTCTCCCTGATTCGAGATAGCGTGCGGCTAGTGTCACTTTGCACGCCGTTGCATGCGAATGCAAATCGTCTGCGCCCATTATGCGCCAGCCCGCCTCGCCAGTACGTCTCGCGATGCACTCTTGCTGAGAAGCACGTGGTTAAATACCGCGGGCGTCGTCTGTATCGCGAACGACGTAGACGATGGTCTACGAATAGAAATCATTAAGTTCGTGCATAACTATATGGCGTTTTTCTTTTTATTTCCTACCATTCATTTTTATTGTTACATTTTTTTATTTACTAAACGGATAATTTTTGAAAGACTATATCTTTTGTAAAATTTTGTATATACCTTAATAATTACTAGTTCGTTTTAACAATCTAGTAAACTTGTCAATCATGATGAAAATCAGACAACTCACGTATCATTAGCCCATTATGGCGATACGAATCAATATAACATAAATTGTAATAATATACAAATCATAATTAAAGAAAGATAGAATGTTAAAATGAATGTCTGTGTGAAAATAAGCAAATCTAATCCTGGGAATTCCAATAAAATTGATTTCATCGCTGTTGTTGATTATGGACTACAGATTGAAAATTCATTTCAAATTTCAATATTTTTACTTGTGCTGTTTACACCGAGTTTATCAGAAGTATCTCTATTAACGCGCCTCCAAGATTAGTTAGATCCGTTCATCCATTCAGACCGACAACGAACAGAGCAAAGCCTGGTTATAGTGACCCCATTAATAGAATCTGCAATTTAGCAAATAGCCTCAGGCATTAACAGAGCACTGATTGAACCATAGTTGAATGCATGGCATCTGACAAATTCTACATGTAATATATTGACTTTATTGCACTGCAGTGTTAACCCTGATCACAAGTGAATTTATAAATAATTTACTGATAAATTATCGACGCTTCGTAGTATCTTCATTTTATTTGTTTGGATTCATACTGCTACCTACAATTTTTTATATTCATTTGGTTCATTCTGAGCTACATTTTCATAAATATAATAAATTTTGTGTGATCTAAATTCAAGTGATCTAAAGATCTAAATTCACAGTCTAAACATTTACTGTTGACAATAATAATATTGTTTTCTTCCTTTCTTTTCCTTTTTCACTCAATGTACTCATTTCTTAATGTATACAATAAAGATGGATTATTAACAGTAGTAGAATTATACAAAACACGTCACAGAAATTAACAAAGAGCAGCAGAGTGTGTTTGTTCCAATCGAGGGCTCTTTCTCCGTACTCCTTAAACTTTAGATAAAATTAGAGACCATATTTCGGTATGGCAGACGCGAGACGGTCGTCCTCTACTTCTTTTTAAAAAGCACATTCGCGAGAATTCGTCTCGTTCTGACATCACGTTGCGACTTGAGTACCAATTATAACTTCACCGTTTCGCGATACACTCCGACTTAACGAAGATACTATGCGATGAGTCCACTGGACGCGTAAACACTAGTCTGTCACGTCACCAGACAAAACGAAATTCCCTATTAACTTTACCTATAGAAAGCTCATCCATAGGATTTTTAATTTCAGTGATTTATTAATTGCAGTATAGATTAGACTTGATATATTTTTACAACAGCTTGTACAAGTACGAAGAATTTATCGATATTCTCATCAAGTATTTCATTTCTTCTGCATTTTCATTCAGAAACGCCCTCAATGATACTTCGAAACACTTATATGGCTCATGATTCAACAACGCTCGTTAAAACAATATTTCTCACACAAAGAATAGATTTACTCCTCTTCTGCAACAAAGCACCACTCCGAAAATTTGTTCATCTACGCATTCAACCAAACACTCACCTAACGTCAGCTCAAAACAGTAGCCCAGCTCCTGTAGAACACTATGATACAACTAAGCTCATAACAACAACATTTCTCAAACAAATAATAGATTCCTTCCCTTAATACAACGAAGCATTAAAAATTGACAAAAATCTTATACAATCTTTTCATTTCCTCCAACACTATCGATTAAACACCCCTTCAAACCTCAGCTAAAAACTCTAACATACTCCTGTAGGACACTATAATACAACTAAGCTCATAACAACAACATTTCTCAAACAAATAATAGATTCCTTCCCTTAACACAACGAAGCATTACAAATTCACCTACAATTCTTAATAGCCCCCCAAATATCAGCTGAAAACACTTACATAGCTCCTATAGGACGCCATGCCAATCCACGCTCCCCTCTTTGAGCGGAAAGCGAAAGGATGCCCCCAAGACCAGGGAGCGATCACCAGCAGCTACCTCCAGGGGTCGGGGTTCGCCAACCACCATCAACCACCGGGCACCACCACCATCGATGACACCGAACCACCACCTATCACCTGAGCACCAAAACACTGTACACCACCACCCGCAGAGAGCACCGCGTACCGTCGTCTCGCGCGCACCGTACCCGAAAATCGCGAGAAAAGAAGAGGACCCGTGTCCCAGAAGAAAAAGAGAGAAACCTGAGGAAAGGAGAAGAAGGAGAAACGGAGGTAATCGAATCACGAGATGGAACCGATCGAGGAACGAACGGTTTCGTCGAAGCGTCGTCCCCGGCGGCGCGTTCTCTTTAGAGAAGAAAGAGGAACAGCGGCTCTACGGAGAGGCGCTTCGTTTCGGACGAAGCTCGGACCCTGAAGAGCCGGCGACCCGCGAGGCACGCCGTTTCTTCCCTCTCTTTCGCCGTCTTTCGCGTCTCTTCGATGTTCTCTTCCCTGCGCTCCCGTTTCGACGTACTCTCCTCGTCTCGCCCCAAGCGTACGAGGACCGTGCGTGTTCGCCCTCCTCCGCCACCTCCTCGCATATCGGCTTCTCTCGTTCATTCGCTTCGTTCACTCGAGCCCTATTTTAAGAATAGCTTCGCGTCCTCCCGTTCCGTCCGCCGTCGGCGCCGAGACGCGGCTTCCGTGCCCGCCCGAAGTTGATGAGGGCAGCGCGAGCGGCCTTCGGAAGGGAACATCGCGAAGGACGAGTGCTCGAGGGCGAGATTTACGACGAAAACCGCGACGAGGGAGGCTTCAGGATGCTCCGGAGGGAAGGTTTATGACACGGCCGAGCGACGAGTGGCGCTATTTCTGAGAGACGCGGATTGGGAAGGTTTGCGTGAGTGATTGAGCAGGGGAGCACCTGAAATTCGGATAGGGAAATTTTTTCTTGATGAGGGGACATGGCAATAGGGGTGGTCGCTACTAATTGCGACTTGCATGGTATTTTGGGGGGATTGAGAATGTTTGCATGAGATTTATTGTATGATTTAGTTTGATAGATTATGTTTGGGAGATGAATTACATTGTTCTGTATAATTTTATTATGTGTAATATATTAGAATTCATAAGTGATAGTATTTAAATGAATTTTCAATATATCTGAATTTTGATTTTCATTCATGAATCAATTGCACCCTTCATGTAAGTTTATTGTAAATAATATATTATAATTATATTATTAATATTATATATATATATTAATATAATAATAATAGTATAATATATTATAGATAATAATATTATTATTAGTGTTATTATCTTATCGAAAATGTTCAAATGAATTTAATATAGATACAATTTAATTCTTATATTACACTTAATTGTCAATTACCCCTGTCTAAATAATTTTATCATAAATAAAATTCTATTTTCAATTTAAAGAAGACAATTAAAAGAAGAAGGAGGAAGAAATGGTGCACGCTAATGGGGGATATATTTTAAACTAAGCTCCTACATATAATACAATTTTATATAGGACAATAAAGTTCGCCAACTTTTTAAGCATCCATGGGATATCAATTGCCGAAGTCGCTGTTCGGCAAACAGGTAGTGTCCTCCGAGCTGTTACCTCGCGAACGATCCTTGTCGATGACGTCGAATCCGCTTGGTCGGAGGGCTGGTTAAGTCGAACGCGGGAGTTTATCATGTTGCAATTTTCGATACGGTTCCTCCTTTTCCGAGACACGGGTGTTTTTCAACCGCGGGTTTATTCGAAGGGTATCGGAGAACTTGTACTCGAAGAGATCGTTTCGAAGGATGGGGCTCATTCCTTCCGTAGAACGTCTCGAGAGAGGAGGGAGGACGCTTTGAGAAGAAAGAAAATTATTCCACGAACGAATATTTTCGAGAGAGTAGTTTCTTGTAAGCGCTTTGACGGGGTATTGTTATGCCCTGAGAGGATTTTGAACGAGGGGAATTATTCTTTGGAGTATCGGGGAAACTCGAAAGCGATTACGCCTCGTAATAGGTTTTAAGGGAGCGGAAAGAGCTTTTACTTCTGACGATGTAAATTTCACGGGGATGTGATGAAAAAAGTGCATGACAATAAATTGCCCCGAGTTTGTTTAATGCAAAGCGTAAGGCTTGGACGAGATATTCGATTAAATCGAATAATAAACTTCAGATGAGCTTTATTCTGTGCTTTTAAAACTTGTTAAAGGAAACATACCGCAGTTACGTAAACATTCTTATATAAGAGGGCAGGAAGACAATTTCTCAATTTCAGATGTAAAAGTATAAACATTTAATTTGAGAATTAAACATACCATGCATTTATATTGGAACATTAGTTCTGTAAGGGTTAAATCTCGGAGTTTAAACTTATATATCATTATATTATAAGGTATGCTTAATGCATGGTGTGTGTGTGTGTGTGTGTGTGTGTGTGTGTGTGTGTGTGTGTGTGTG